GAAGGGGGGGGGGGGGGGGTGCAAGACCGTTACGCGGTCAAACAAATACTCGAGTTTTCGTTTTTATTGGCAGGGTCACTGCAGTTGCTAAACGCCTAGTCGAGAGACACAACCAAGGGAAGGAGAAACACAACAATGCACAAATAGGCCTGTAACAAATCGCGTTACCTTGTGGGTAAACTGCGCGGCTTCGATGTCTAGCCTTGCCAGCTCGCGGTCCTTCTGCTGGGCGTCCAAGACCAGTCCCGAGAAGTCTCGCAATCCTCGCGACTGTTCGATGCAAGGTGTGTCGAGGAAATATCATAACAGATTCTAAGACAAATCGTTGATTTCGAACGTCTTACGGGATGAAGGATATTTATTCCCTGGATGTCTACGGCATCCTATACTTTGCGCTTATTCTTCCCTGTGTAATGTTTTCGGACAAACAAGTTGCACCGCGACACACAGAAGTGCTCACCTCCACTGGAACTCGAGGGCCCAGGCTGGAAAAGTTCCTCGGGTCGAAATGCCCCCCCCTTGGTGCCGTGATCCCAGCTTCGTTCTCACCGTTGCCGCTGCCGTAGCCGTCGTCGAAGTCCCCGTCTCGAGGATCGGGAGCGCCGCGCATCGTCCAGCCGAACGTCCCCATTCTCCAGTCTTCGAAATCGGCGAAAAGACCAGTCGTCACGTGGAGCCCCCCTCGAAACGCCTGTTCGGTGTTTTCGTGGGATGCCTTTTTTTAGTGGCTGGTTGCAGTGTGGGTAACACCATTGATATCTTCATTGTGTTGCCCGGTAGGGAGAAGAGAAGGGGACAGGGGAGGGAGTCGAACGATTGCAGGACCTGCGTCTTGCGTTTCTTGAGGCCTGCACACATCCCTGCAGGGGCGTTGAGCACCGTTCGAAGAGCAATAACTGCTGTTGATGCTGTTAATCGGAGCTACTACTTCTGTTTTACGGGGGGACAATTCGCGTGTTGGGAAGGATACATTCTAACAGAAGCATCTGGCGTAGTTGCTGCTATTCTTCTCCGTTATGTACCTTTGTTCTTGCGTTGGAACGCAGCACGTAGGGTCTCCACTAGGCAGCCACAAAGGGGCAAGGAGGGGTGGGAGGCGTGCCAAGGCCTGAGCCAGCTACTATTTGATACCGCATCCCTTCCTATGCAGAGCTCGAAGCACCGTGGGGAAGGGAAGCAGCGAGGGGAAATTTGAGACGCCCCAAATCAGTGTTGAACATTGACGTCGGGTGGCATTACACCTGACGTGGGGCATTGTCCTCTATGTACCTGAGTCGTGTACTTGACGGACCGCGAGTTGCTGTCGTAGTGGATCCAGGCGCGGTTGCAGCGGTGAACATCCTTGCAGCGCTCGTAGTCGTCGTCGCGGTGATCGTCGTACACCTTGTTTCACGTTGTTCGCTTTCAACGTCGGCCGGAATATTCTTCGATTTTCATCTTCGCGAGCTTGCTCGATTTGTTTTTGTACATGTTGTAAGGCTGTTTGCTCCCGTTGTATACGACCAAAAGTACCAGAGAAGATGCTAGAGTTGCGAGGATGAGTTTTACGTCGCTGGCCTATGGCATGGTACGTAAACGTTACCGAAGCGTCGCTGGCCTATGGCATGGTACATACGTTACCGAAGTGCGGGCAGGGGATACTGCTCGTGCTCGTGGTGTGTGTTCTCGCAGACATCGGGCGGCTGAAGTGGTGGGTAAACGTGTTTTGCCGAGGAATGACTATATGGCAAGCACGGATGTAGAATCACAGCAGGACCCTCCACGTGCACCATGTTGCACTTGGACGAGCGTGCTTTTCCATAGAAATGTACGAGCCTAGCAAACAGATCACTTCAGCCCCAAAATAAGTACAAAGAAGGCGCCCCCCTGCCAGCGCTGCCTCGAAATATATGTCATGTAGTTTACTTCGTATGCCATATCAAGCACAAAACTGTTGTGAAGGTCGTTTCTCGTTTTCGTCGACCAGCTCGATGATTTCGTTGACTCCAGGATGGTTTGCGGACGTGAACCTCACCAACACAACAACAAAGACACGTCAATAGCATCAACAACGACAGCAGCAACCCGTACCTGGTGCGGGAGGTAAGGGCTACTCTCGCGCGGCACTCCCCCGTCCCCAGAGAGCCCCCACGTCGGGTCCACGGCCACGGTAACGTTCCCCGCAAACAGCGCCGACGAAACGTTCCGAATCTGAACCAGTAGCTCCGCAGCAGCCTCGTCTACCGCAATTTCGGTGGCGTAGTCGGAAGGTTCTCCTACAGACATGCGTTGACGGGTTGTGTTGGCGTGAGAGTGGGCGTGGGTCGTTTTGCGGTTAGTTGTGTGTGCTCGTTTCATGGATCTATCGTGTCCCTAGAGCGGTGGGACAGAGCGCGTCGGGTTGTACCTCAATCAGAGGAGGTCCGTGAGATCGATTTGCGGGGCCCCAAGGAGAATGAGTTGCTTCGCAATGGCGCTTAAGATGTCACATAGACATCGGCACCTTGTGCCCACTTTGCTGGCAGGTACTGGGTCTTGTGGATCAAAGAGATGCGATGCGCGCGTCTAGCAGAGTAAACATGTCAAAAAGGCTTGAGATCCCTCGCACACCAACTGTTGGTACATCGAGCTCGAAGAAACCGCGATAGTTCGGTGCTGACGCGGTGCAGCTAACGTGGTGGTATCGTGGCAAGAAGAGCGGGTGGAACCTTCACACGGGATCCTCAACGAAGGAGATTATCATATTCAGAGAGAACCCCCACAATGCTACATGTTCTTGTTATATATATTACCTGCAGCGCCTAGTGTCGAGATACTGCTATTCGTCCGCGACAACTTCTTGGGCACTTCCCTCTCGCCCTCCGTAAGACATGAAGGCCAGTACAACAATAATTTACCTATTCGGAAATGCACAAGAACGGCATCAGCAGCAGCGCGCTTGACGAACAGGACTCTCACGCGGTCGGGGTTCTGGAGAGCGAGGCAACCGGAGACGTCGGCGATGAACCAGGCTTCCCACTGGCAGTAGTCGCTCCCTGTGATAGTGGAATCGGAGGCGGCACGACCGGCTTCGCACCAGCCCTGAGCGCCCTGGTTGAGGTAGTACCTTGTTTCGGTTTGAAAAATTTCGGGTGTCATGTGGCTTGTAAGTCCTCTCTGCAATTTCTGCGGCTTCATTCTTGCCAGGGTTTGCGACGAAAGCAGTGCTGGGAGCCGATAGAACACAAGTACAATAATATAAACAATGCTGCCATTCGTCCAGCCTTGAAATCTTTTTGTGAGAGTTTGTCTCTCGCCATGTGGATTCATCCAGGGTAGTGCTTCGGGAGGTGGAAACTGTCGAGGGCCTCGTTTTGTCGTTTACAAGTCGTCGTCCAAATACAACGAACGGCGCTCGTGTCTCTTTGCGCACGAAGAAACCATCGCTCTTCCTGTCGCCTCGCTCTCGCTCTCACCCTTCCTGCACTCCACTCCCGCCGATGACCTCGATAGCCATAGTCAGGCGGAGAGAAACATCCAGGCTGACAGCCACCACACCCCACGACGGGTCAATCCTATCGGTCACCAAGCCGCTGTACAGAGTGGACCCACTCTCTTGGGCCTGAACCGTAAGCTCCGTCATGACTGTGACCGCACCGTCTTCGCCGAAAGTTCCCGCAATGACGTTGTCGACCAGACGAAAGAGAACAATAACATTGTTGGCCTGGATTTTGGTGCAAAGTATCGTTAGGAAAGAACGTGGCGGTAAGTGCTGGCTGAAGGGTTGGGCAGCAATAGTCCAGCGATGTCGTGGTCGTCGTGGACAACCCCTGCTGCATCTATCAATTGTGGTGCACCATATCCCTTTCGAACAGTTGTCAATTTTCGTTGCCACAATATTGCAGTGAGCTACCCTTCCTACAGTGTAGTGCACCAAGCACGACCTTTACTTTCAATTCCGTAAATATGAGTTTATGCTACGGTGTTGTACCTCCCAGTCATGGTGCACCCGACCTGGCGCGATCTCCATCACCAGCACCCTAGACGAGCTAATGTTTGCCGCTCTAGATATGTCTTGCACGAACTGCGTGACGAACGTTTCTCGAGCGACCGTATCGCCGAGGAAGATTCCGTTGGTGAGATGCGCCCCTGGCCCGTCTAGGATGGAGTAGTCCACCTTCGCGGGAAGAAACTAACTTTGTGAGTCTCCACAGAAAGAAAGCTAGCGCCGCACGCAGGGCGTTCATTCATGCTTGGATAAACATGATTTTACACACCTTGGAGGTGCATCGCTTGCGCTTGTCGAGCTCGAGACGTTCTGGGCAGGTCCAACCGGAAGCCCATACAGGCAGCTAATAGCGCAGTGGAAAATAGGGAAATACGCGGCACCGCAGCAGCAATACGGTGTCCCACAAACAAACCGGAAGGGCGCTCCTCCGGCTGACGTGTCACCAAACAATTCTTCACTTACAAGACTACTGCTGTGCGAGTACAATAAAATAAATGCATCCACAACCTTTGTACGTTTGTACGTTTACCGAACGTGTTTCGTACACCACCACCAAAGCAGCACCGTGTGTGCTACACGCCCAAAGTGAGATCGGTCTGTTCTGTCCGTGCTCTTGGGCAAACCATGGGATACTTCGGTGCAAAGCTCCCAACAAACATTTTGAACCTCAAATCCGCAAATACATACTTGCAGAACGAAGTATATCGTACTATAAGTGTTTCATAGTACCTTGCAAGTGAGATCAACGAAGTCGGTACTGGAGAACCTCTGGGCCGTCTCGTTTGCGCTTCGCATGTTCTGGACCATGTCGGCGTCAATGGTCAGCTCGATGGCGTCAACCATTGCAGGGAAGCCGCGGCGGCAAGACGCTATCACCACTATGCACATGACGAAGGCCACATGCGCACAGCAGCGGCGTATTCTCGCCGCACAACAGATCATCAGAGAAGAAGTATGTCGCCGACTCCATTGTCGATGTGGTCGGCTCATGTCTTGCTCGGCAAGACGCCATGGTCGCGAGTCAGCAAATGCCGGTGTCATCGCTTCCAAAACATCGAAGCAATTTTCCCTCTCATCTTAACTCAACTCGTCCCATGCGCACGGGTCCGACTGTATGGGAATACTGAATACTTGCACGGCACGGAACACACACGGCACCGTCGGCGGCCAGACTCGTCGAGGTTGTCGAGAGACCGTCAGAAAGGCAAAAAAATATGAAACCGTCAGCAACATGGAGTTACATATGGCAAGGATGCGTTCGGGTTCTCACGATAATTCCTCCGCGAAAGTGAGATGTTGGAATTGGGAGCTGCCTGAAGCCAGCAAGTCTGTATCTCGTGTGTCATCCCTCTCAAGCAATACACTTGCAATACCATGGGGGTACTAGACCTGATGTTGCCGTGGATAACTCGTGCGGCGGTTCTTGTGTCGGTCGTGCTGCTGACTCTCACCACCCTCCACAGGCACTCGGATATCCCGCTGTCGCAGGCAACCCTGAGAGTGGCACATCTCTGCTCCTTCAGGTATGCGAGTGTGCCTGCTGTATAAGGGTCGTGATGTGCCTGCAGTTGCTAGCTGCCCCTTTTCATAGAAAGCATCAGCCTGTCTATGCGATACCTTGTGCCTTCAATGCGGGCTAATTTGCGTATTTGCTCCGTGGGCGGCGACCATGAGTAAAATGTAGCCAGTTCCGTTCGCGGCTGCCACGTCCACCGTGAACGGTTGACTACCCGCTGGGAGTGTGTATGAGAGCTTGATACTCAGCAACTCGAAAATGGGAGGCAGCAGGACGCAAACTTTTGCTGGCTTAGGCTACCCATGTGTTTTTTTGGTAATCCAATGGTGCGGTGTGTTGGTCGAGAGGTGCCCGTTGTGCGAGCACACACCCCTTGATGGCGATCACTTTTCACTTTGGCTGTGGTTTGTCCCGGAGGCGTGCCGATACGTGCATTTAATATTGCCTGCTGCTCTCAACTTTAATCCTTTACCCGGCTGCGCGTCTCGCCATCTGCGTGTCGCTTGCCGCCGCTGCCGCCGCCGCTGTTACCGCTGCCGCCGCTACTGCCGCGGTCGGTCACGCTGCTATTCGTGGGGTCCGTCTCGCATCGTAGCGTGTGGTTCGGAACAAGCGTCTGGGTTTCGTTCATTGCTGGAATCGTGCTCATGCGAGCGGTCACCATGTGAGAGAAAAAGGGGGCGGGGGGGGGGGGGGGGTTTT